GCCCCGCGGCCGCCGCGCCGCCCCGCGAGCCGCTCGCTGACAGAGCTCGGGGCGGAGAGCGCGCTCGGGTTGCCGTTTGAGGGGAACGGGCGCTTGCCGCGCCCGGGCGTCCACTTCGGGGAGATCCCCGAGCGCGCCCCGCCGCCCGTCCAGGCCCTCTCGAGGGCACCCCGGCTCAGAGCTCGGCAGATGCCCCCCGAGAAGGCCGGATAAGCGCCTGTGGCTGCGAACTTCTGTCCCGACGGAGCGCGGACGCTGCCTCCCAGCGCCTTCACGAAGTTTGTCTTCCCGGAGTCGGGGCGGGGTCCCGGGCCGCCCCCACGCGGACCCCCGGCCCACATGGGACCCCGGTGATGGAAAGGCCGGGACCGACGCCCCCGCGGGTCTGAAGTCCCGGAGGATGACCTAGCGCTCGAGACGGCACAGCCGGCCTCCCCGGGCCCCGCGGACGTGGGTTCCTCCAATCGCTTCTTTTCGAAGAAGGCTTTCTTGTTACTGCTTCGTGTGGATTTTGTGGGGCGAGAGGAAGGAAGGGCCGGGCGGCGGGACTCGGCGTGGGTCCAGCATGGACGTGGTGGACCCCCAGCAGCTCGGCATGTTCACGGAGGGCGAGCTCATGTCCGTGGGCATGGACACCTTCATCCACCGCATCGACTCCACCGAGGTCATCTACCAGCCGCGCCGCAAGCGCGCCAAGCTCATCGGCAAATACCTGATGGGGGACCTGCTGGGGGAGGGCTCGTACGGGAAGGTGAAGGAGGTGCTGGACTCGGAGACGCTGTGTCGGCGCGCCGTCAAGATCCTCAAGAAGAAAAAGCTCCGGCGCATCCCCAACGGGGAGGCCAACGTGAAGAAGTGAGTGCGGGCCGCCTGCCGGGTCCCTGCCTCTGCCCCCTCCTTACCGTCCTCCTTCCATGCCGCCCCCTCGCCTCTCTCGCTTTTCTCCTTCCTTCCTCCCCTAAACCCCAAGCTGACCCAGGCGGCGGGGTCCCCCTGGTGTTGCCTGGCAGGGGTGTGTGTGTGTGTGTGTTGGTGTGGACATCAGTGGACCTGCTGGGTGCCCCCGCTGCCGTCTTAGGAGGCCGGTATGGGGCCTGTTGACCCTGGTACTTCCCCGCCGCTGCCAAAACGAGCTGTTGGCACCAGCTTATGGGCCCCGCCCAGGCGCAAACAACCGAGGCCCTGCCCCTTGGGTCCCCTTAGGCCCAGCGCTTTGGGTTTGGAGGGCTGGACAGCCGGATGGTCCCTGTCCACCTGGTGTCCAGACCTGCTTCCTCTGTCTCCTCCGCCTCTTCCACCACACCTGTTCTTGAGACCGCCCATCGGAGGGGCCTTCTCCACTCCTGCCTGTGGGCTGCATGGGAGTCTCCTTCCAGCGTGAGCACGCCGCTCCCTCCCAGCAGAGCCGCCCCACCGGGGTGGGGTGCATGACTGATGGTCTGTAGATTGGAACGTTAGCATAGCACACAGGCTTCTGTGAGCGAGCTGGGGAGCCCCTGGTCCCTGAGAGATGAGGAGCGGCCTAACTAGGAGGCAGGGGTTCCCCCTGGGCCACCCCACAATCACCGCTCCTCTTGGACTCCATTAGAGCAGCACTAGCTGCTTGGCCTCTCCCCAAAGGGACTCAGTGTCAGCCTGTCCTCACCTGCTGGTCTGGGTCCTGGACCTGCTCGTCTGCCCACTGAGCTGGCTGCTCAGAAGCCCATCAGCCGCAGAGGACGGTCCAGCCGGTTCCCTGTGCTCACAGAAGATACCGCCTAGTGGGGTCTGGGGAATCGGGAATGTGTACAGACAGAGCCCCCTGGTCCCGGGACGGGCGGTACCACGCTCGGGACACTGCCCTAGGTCCTTGGAGTTTCCCAGCACTTTGTAATCAAAAGTGATGGCCTCCCTGACGGTGCGTTACCAGTGAGTTGGGCAAGTTTGTGCCTTGATGTAGAGGGAGGGGCCCTTCCGCTAGCCAGGCTGGACTGAAAGGCTGCCCCCACAGCCATGGAAAGGTCACCCTCCAAAGGTGGTACAGGCAGCGTCAGGAACCTCAGACTGCTCTTGTGCCCAGGTGTTTGCCTTGAAAACAGACAGGCATTGGGGAGAAGGGAGAAGTGTTTTCCTTGTATTTACTGTTGTTCAGGGGGTGTTGCCCCGCTTCCCACTCAGGTGTGAGAGTGGATGGCCCCAGGGGACTGGGCTGACACTGTTCTGGACAACACCTCCCATCCCTCACCCCCCACCCCCAAGCCAGGAGCTTGGTGGCTAGGAACCTTGAGTAATGGTCCTGGCCTCTGTCTGTGTGTATACCCTGACCCAGAGCCTCAGCTCCTTACCTAGTAAGACTGGTGGTGACGCAGGTCAGACACCGGGTCGCTGGGGCTAGAGCACATGATGGGTCTCAGAGATGCACCAAGCTGCTGTCCACCCTGGGTCGGCCCCACCACAACCAGACTCCAGAGCGTTCACCCCACACTGAAGTCCCAGGCCACCACTGGGTCTGCCTGTTCTGGACAGTTCATTTAAATGGTAGCCCCCAAAACGTGTTCTTTTATGTCTGGCTCCTCTCATGGGCCACCTTTTCCAGGTTTGATTCCTCCTGATGGCTTAGTACTGTGCCCTTGTGTATACCACCACCTTTGGGTTGTCCCCACTTTCTGTTTAGCATGCCCAGTGCTAAGTGTTGCATTGAACTGAAATCGATGACATGTTTCCCCTCGTGAGTCCCCTGTTGTGTTCCGTAGAGACGAGCAGAAATGAGGGCCGTGGGGCTGGGCTGAGCACCCCCGTCAGAGCCCTGACTCCCCAGTCTGCTCTGGATCTAGCCTGTGGCCCGCTCTTCTTACTCCTTCTGGAACCTGAGCCATGTGCATGGCCCATGTCTTGTTCTTGGTCGGGGTGGCTTTGATCCTCTTCTGGTGGGTCCACAAGTAGCAGCTGTCTGTCCACTCTGCCCTCAGCCACATGCACAGGCCGATGGGGCCTGGACGGTTCCCGAGAGAGAGTCGGGGTGGACTTGCCGGAAGGCTTTGCTTCCTCTCTTTCAGAAGCACTTCCGGCAGCCTTTTCCTTTTCTTTTAAGCATTTGTCTTTCTCGCTGTGTATTTCCTCTGGACAGAGATGAGACACTATGGTAGAGAGCTTTGCCCCCGCCCCCCCCCCCCCCAGAGCTGCAGTGGCGCCTGCGGTGTCGGGCCCACTGCCCACATGCTTCTGTGACCTGCGGCTCTCAGGCCCCCCCCCTCCCGCCCTGCCCCTTCCATCCTGGGCCCTGTGCTGGTGAGGGGGAGCCTGGAGTGTCCACTGGGAGGCCAGGTGCTGAGGTGGAATTCCCCAGCACTGAGGTTCCCTGCCGAGTGGACGCTGAGGGAGAGCTCAGCCTTGCAGGCCCAGGTGAAAGGGAGCAGGGCCGAAGGGAAGGTTAGGGTGGGATTTTGAATCCCTGGGTCCTCTGGTTCTCCATGGGGGTCGGGGTGGGGGTGGGATCTGGACTCCTCTGTGTGGTCTCTTTCTCAATCACAGGGTGATCCCATTCTCAGTCGGGGGTGGGGGTGTCTTAAATCCTGTGATCTTCTTCTTCAGTCATCTTATTGATTGTGTTCTCAGTCAGGGGAGTCTTGAGTCCTGTTTTGTCTCCTTCTTTATGGTCCGAGGGGGTCTGGAATCCTCTGTGCCATTGAAGCTACAGTGTGGTCTCATTCATGGTCATCGGGGTTGAAATGCACCCAGGTCTGATGACTGCGGAGTGTCCACTCAGCAGCTACTGTGGTCCTGTCAGGAGGGAGGACTGTGGGCCCCAGTCAGCACATGCAGTTTTGGTGAACCTCTCTGAGGCAGGTTTGATGTGGGCGCACTGCCAGCAGGTGGGGTGGGTGTGCCAGTTTGGGGATCTCTGACATGAGGTGGCAAGTTGGGCTTGTTAAAGACACATGCCAACACTCGGGTCTGATCAGGAAGTCCTGGGAAGCCACAAGTTGGGATCCCCTGCCCTTTGGGAGCTGTCCACATGAGGTGGCCAGCCACTTGGCCAGAGCCCAGTGAGTGACCATGGGCATGAGGAAGTCTGCCAGGCCTGAGTGGCAGAACGTGAACCTGTCCCTGGCCTAAGTGTGGCTCAAGGTCAATGGCCAGGCTGGGGGGCGGGGCGCAGGTAGAACCCACAGGGTGCTGCTGGGAGGGACATCTCGGTGAATACAGACCCTCTCCGTTCCCAGGAGACCCCCACAGGCCACTGCGACCCCCTTGTCTGACATGTGGGCTGTGGGCAGCTTCTGGCTGGTGTGGTATGGCATTCATGTGTGGCCCTGGGGTGATGGTAAGCGGGCTGTGTCCAGCACCCCCCCCACCCCCCAATCTGCTGCCAGGCTGTGAGCACCAGGCTACGAGCCAGCGCTATAAATAGCTGCAGCCTTGCCGGGAAGCTGAGCTACTAGCCCAGGCTTCACTAGTCCGGGAGCACAGGAGGCTTCGTCTGGGGTTTCTCTGGGGCCCAACTTATCTCTGCTCCTTCTTCAGCCTCATCCCTAGCGGCTGCCCCCATGCCTTGGTTCTCCGCTTGCCCTAATCTAGGCCTGGCCCGGCGGTCACTCATGTAGACAGTGCCCTTGGCTGCCCTGGCCTCTTGGGCCCCGCTGGCCTGGCGCTGAAGGGCACCCGGACAGGAAATGAGGCACTTGGGTTGGGGACAGTGAGTAGGGGCTTCCTGGAAGGGGCAGCCTGCTCGAGCCTGTGAGGATGAGGGCTCCAGGGAGACGGGAGTTGAACATTTGGATAAAGCGGGGGCGTGGAGGGGCTGGAGCTCTGGAGTGGCCCTGCACAAGCTGTCTGGAAGTCCCAGGGTGGGGTGGCACTCGGCAGTGTTGACTCCGTCCTGTCCCTGCAGGGAGATCCAGCTCCTGCGGCGGCTGCGACACCGGAATGTCATCCAGCTCGTGGATGTGCTGTGCAATGAAGAGAAGCAGAAGATATATCCTCCCCAACGTGTGTGCGTGTGTGTGCGTGTGTGTACCTGGGGGCGGGGCTGTGCAATGAGGAGAAGCAGAAGATATATCCTCCCCATGTGTGCACGTGTGTGTACCTAGGGGCGGGGCTATGCGGTGAGGAGAAGTAGAAGATATATCCTCCCCATGTGTGCGCGTGTGCGTGTGTGTACCTGGGGGCGGGGTTATGCGGTGAGGAGAAGCAGAAGATATATCCTCCCCATGTGTGCGCGTGTGCGTGTGTGTACCTGGGGGCGGGGTTATGCGGTGAGGAGAAGTAGAAGATATATCCTTCCCGACGTGTGCGTGTGTGTGCGTGTGTGTACCTGGGGGCGGGGCTGTGCAGTGAGGAGAAGTAGAAGATATATCCTTCCCGACGTGTGCATTTGTGCGTGTGTGTGCGTGTGTGTACCTGGGGGCGGGGCTGTGCAGTGAGGAGAAGTAGAAGATATATCCTCCCCGACGTGTGCGTGTGTGTGCCTGGGGGCGGGGCTATGGCGGTGAGAAGTAGAAGATATATCCTCCCCATGTGTGCGCGTGTGCGTGTGTGCGTGTGTGTACCTGGGGGCGGGGTTATGCGGTGAGGAGAAGTAGAAGATATATCCTCCCCATGTGTGCGCGTGTGCGTGTGTGTACCTGGGGGCGGGGTTATGCGGTGAGGAGAAGTAGAAGATATATCCTCCCCGACGTGTGTGTGTGTGTACCTGGGGGCGGGGCTGTGCAGTGAGGAGAAGTAGAAGATATATCCTCCCCGGCGTGTGCATGTGTGCGTGTGTGTGCGTGTGTGTA